ATAAAACAAAATAATTTTAATAATAATCAAACGTGCCTGTCACTATTTTGCGTTTTTAAGAAAAATATGCCAAACTACTAATAAAATAAGCCTAGAATTTCTTTTTTTTTATCACTGATTAGTTTATACGAGTGTTAGAAATAAGAATTAATTTTAGAATAAGCTAGGCTAAGACACATACGTACTTCACAAGGGCAGAAAGACCGATTGGGTCGATAGCCTTTTTCTGTAGGAAATAAAGATTATTTATGGATAGAATATATATAGTAATAAAAATGTAAATTTTATGAGGGAAAAATATCGAAGCCCACCATATTTTTCATTTTATTAAATTTAATTTACTTTTACCTATACCTAGGTTTACCTATTCCTGCTCATTTGCAACTTCAGCTAGCATTAAGGTTCTATAATATGCTACTAGCAGTTTCCAGGTAGGTCAAGTGATAAGTGCTTAATACAATTACGCTTACACGAAAGCAACTCTCATTATGTAATATACTATTATATTGTGATGAATGATTACTGAACTATGCGTCTTCTGTCTAGCTGAATATACGGTTTTCCTCTGGCGCTCCATTTGTTTACTCCTGTTCAAAATTCGCTTGATCCGTCAAACTTGTCTTTATCTATGATAAATGCCAATGGTACCAACCGGACGATCATAAGAAACCTATGATCCGTCACTTAACAGCCACTTTTCCAAGTCACTCTCGAGGTGGAACTATAAAATGGCTTCTATCTCAAGTGTCAAAAGTCACTCAAGTCGTTCTTCGATAAGTGTCTCTCAAGTGCCACTTGGCACTTGGACTATAAATACGGCCATCATGGTTCATGGTTTTGTAAGTTTTGAAATAATATACGTTAACGTTGTAAAAGATCCGTTAAGATTCCCGACCCGCCCATTACTAGTCGATAATAATTTTTTAACCTAACTTAGTTTGTACACAGATCGTGATTGAAATAAGAAAAACAAACCAAACAATCCCATAGATTCCTATAGAGAAAATGATGTCGGATGAGTCCGAAAATGATGTAGCGTATGAGGAACATCAAGACGACCTTTACTATAACAAGTATAAATTACTGATAGAAGAATGTAGCCATTTGCAAAGGGCAAATGAAATCCTGGTGTTTCGAATACAAGAAGTGAACAAAATAACTAAAAGGAGACACAAAGAAGTTCAATTTTTTAGGTATGTAGCCATAATATGTAAGTAGATCAAAATCCACTGTAAAATCTGTATCAATCGGGAACATTACATCTTTTGACACCGATAATAATTTAGACAGAGACTAATGAATATTCATGATGAAGACTGGTCAGTAATACCTCCCGATATACTATCAGAGGATGAAGAAGACGTTAAACCAGTGATTACATCGCTGATTATTCCAAAAAAGGAAAAGCTGGAGCGAAATGAAGAACTTCTCAAAGAAAAATCAGAAAAAATAAAAAATGAGAAACCTAAAGCAACCAAGCGACCGCCTCGAAAAAAAGTGCCTAAAAGTGAAAAAGACCCGAATGCTCCAAAGCGACCATCCAACCCATTCTTCCAATTTTGTCAAGAACAAAGGCAAATTCTTATGGAACAAATTTCGGCTGAACTTAAACCCGGAGAAGTCGAACCCACTAAGCAAGAACTTACACGACAGTTGGCTCTCAAATGGAACTCCCTCTCTGTACCTGATAAAAAGGTAATAAATTTCAAGTCCCGAAGAATTCAAATTATTACTTTAATCTGAGACTTATTATTTTTACTCAATAATATTTTGATCTTCAGGTATATGTCGACAGATATGAGCGTTCCAAGGAAAAATATAATGCTGAAATGGAAGACTACAAGAGAACGAAGTAATCATCAATCCACCAAAAGTGCATTATGTTTGATTTAATATAAATTATTGGCTATCTGTTATTTTATTTTAGTGCAACGGTTGATTAATAATTGCAGTCAGGAGCGGATCCAGTCAAGTAGTAGAAATTCAGACTTTTGTTGTGTATGAAATTAGAAAAATTAACGTTAGTCGCTGTAAACCCAGCACAAGGTAGCTTCAAGGGGGGGGGGGTCATGACCCCCCCTGGATCCACCCTTGATTGCAGTTTAACTCCAATATGACTTTAGATTTATAATACCTTGCTTCTGGCTTTGCCAACTTATAGCTGACTACGATGTTTGTGATTAGATCAATAAGATACGAGTTCACCATCTAACAATGTAATAAAAAAAAAATGTACAAACAAACAAATTTCAAGTAATTACGCTTTAAATGTGTCCTTCTCCTTTCTGATGGCTTGCATTGTAGCAATAGCATCATCGCAACTGGCATGTCTTTGTACACTGCCCATCATTACTCGCATGAAAGGATTGATTTTCTTTTCTTGTAAAATAGTTGAAGGTACCTTGAATTAATAAAATTTGCTTTGGATCAGTTTTAAGTTATACGTAAAAATAGCTTGTTTTCGATTCATACGAATCAATAAATCTGACACGCCGCGAGTTAACTGCTACTTCAAAAACTTGCATATTCAAGAGAATGGCAAGTATACATTGTATTACTTTGAGACATTTAGCAAATTTCGCTAAGTTCTAAATTAGTATTAGCACCAAAACTTTCCCCTATCTTGGTGAAATTAAAAGTTAGTAATAACTTAAATTAAAAAGGGGTCTGATATTATTACTAGAATCTTTTTTACAGATAATGCAACGCTGATTGTCGTATATCATAATCAATAAGCAGAGGAAAAACATCCCCCACAGGTGACTAAATTTACACTACTTTAAACTGACATCGAGAGAACTATACCATGAAATAACTTACCGTAGGTATTCCCTTCTGTCGCTTCTCGTCTGCGTCAGCTGAAGCTTTCATAATATCTCTGTTCTCTCTTTCCACATGTCGTGCGAATTTCAAATTTTGCTGCGTATATTCATGGCCACAAAACACCAAAGTGTTGTCAGGTAGTTTGGACAGTTTCTCTACTAAAGCAGTGTACATTTGTTGGGGGGTGCCTTCAAAGAATCGTCCACAACCAGCGACAAATAATGTGTCGCCTGTAAAAACTGCCGTTTCTCCTTTCGGATCTGTTAGATAGTAGCAAATGTGTCCTGTGGTATGGCAAGGCGTGAACAGGCATTCGACATCAATTTCTCCAATTTTAAATCTATCACCATCTGATACTTTATTTGTCAGGCCACCGATTCTTTTATCACCTCCATACACTTCAAGCGGGTTCGGACATTTTTTAATTAATTCCTCGTTTCCACCAGCATGGTCCCTAAAGGTAAACCAATATTAAGCTTTTATGGGGCTCTGCGTTTTCTTGAAGCAGGCTTACCAGTGGTGATGAGTCGTTAAAATTTGTGTTAGATTCACGCCTTCATTTTGTACAGCATGCAGAACCGTATCGGGAGCTACAGGATCCACTATAGCTGCTTGTTTGGTAGTTTCGTCAGTAATCTATATAGAAAATTAAATACATAGAAATATTTTTAGCCCGTTTTTACATCTACGGATAAGTGTAGCAATTAAATAAACTCACCAAATACATGTAATTATCTGATAAAGCTGGTAACACTGTAACCTTCATCTTGGGAAGTGAAACGGTGATATGGGAGCTATGAAAAAGTTGGGAACCAAGGTTTCGTCGCGCTGTAACTGGAATAGCATAAAACATAATGCATTGTTTAATTTATTATTTTATTTAACTGCAGTCAGAAAATAAGGATAGTGCTCATAACGAGGAATTTCGATCGCCGTAATGCATCACAGAATGGAAGCCTTAATAATCGGCGTTATGCTTGACTTCGTTATACAGGCAAAAACAAATAAGTACAGCCTTGGATCAACCAAGTACAAAACACATTATCTAGCAACAGCTGGGGTTTTCAGCATTCCTTACGATTGCAGATTGAACTACCGGAAGGCAACCAAATCACTTCTTTCCAATAGTTACGAGGGGAGCTATGGAGATTTTGATACATCCAGACAACTTTCAAGGAATGGAAGAAGCCAGCGCGTTAAATCAGAGCTAGAGGAGGGCAACTTAATTTGAAACAGCTTGTATAATTTCAGAATGTATTCAACTAATTCAAGTTTCCTTAAACCAATAGACAAACATTGAAAGCAGCTAATAAATATTTCAAAAAAAAGAAAGATTTTTCTTTAGTAGTCTAAACGTGAGTTTCTTCACAAAGTTTTCCTTGATATTAATTTAATCATTTTCATCGTTCTGAACAATAATCCAAGCAATATGACTCCAAAGATTAAATGTGTAAGGGCAGCAAATTCCTTTGATATTTCGTGAAAACACCGACAGACGATCCATTTTCTGTCGATGTTTTGACAAAAATTAAAAGGAATTTTACCGCGGCTCAAGCTCGACTTGTTAGGTATGGACGCAGAATTAGATCACGAATTACTGCAAAACACTTGGTTTATTACCACCAGAAAATTAGGTCCACCATCAGGTCATGTTTTATCTAAGTAAAATTACAGTTCAACGATTAACACATCCTACATAATACATTCATTACTGAGAAAATGTAACTTACATTTACAATAAGCAGCAGTAAGGCCTTGCACTACTCTATTAGGTAATATAAAATATAGTAATGAGAGCATTTTACATTTAAAGCATCACGTAAATATCTTTAAATTTCACAAATCACTGTTTATAAATTGACAAAGTTCAAAATGATTAGAGATAACCTTGAAAACCAGTGACTGGTGGAGTGTGAAAAATTACCTTTATACAATCTAAGGAAATTTTCTGCGATTTATAAAAGCAGCGAATAAAATCTGATATTTACCCGGTTAGTATGAGAGCAGTATGAAAGATAATCAACAAAAACAATTAACATCTCTCCAACAAGTGTGCAAGTTAACTTGACATTGATACCAACACAGATTACATAGGATATTATCATGCTATTATTCTGTGGATACACCTTTGAATTTATATTCAAAGGTGTATCCACTATCTATCCAACTAAATATAAACTCTGCTATAAAACTAGTTTTATATTCAAAGCCAAGATCAAAATTTGAAATTCTGGTTTCTGCTAAGCTTTCGTTGTGGGTTGTGATGATATGATTGATACTGTGTTTATATATTATATTATATATTATATATTTATACATTGTTGAATTTACTATTAAAAGAGCTATCAAATACGTTAGTTTTTTTTTCGGTCTTTATGAAAAACAATAGTTGTTAATGGTTTCAAAGAAACGAAACGTTGGAATACATTTTCTTAGACACCATCTTATAGAGCTTGAGAAGGTGCCATGCGAAAGAATTGTTTGTTTTTTGATATTATTCGAAATAACTCCGAAAAATCACTATTTTCTAAATATCCCAAAAATTACTTGTTACCGTCAATTCGAATTTGACAATCCGGTTCTGGAAAACTACCCGACCTTCTCATTTCTCATCACTAGTTTCAGTTTTATGGTTATGTGTCCTCAGTGATAGCTGTAAAAAGTAAGGTTAAATATTATATATTTATTGACTTATTTGAGCCCCGAAAGGCTTTTTAGAGAAGAGTAAATTATGGTTATACTTGCAATTCCGTACTGATAATTCGTCCAGATAAGTAGAAGTAATATCTTCATGTCATCTTATCATGTTCGTTACAAATACTTTTGCAGTTATTTCCAGTTGCAGATGTAATTTGTTGATTATTGTTGTAGATATGATTCGTCGATTATTTAACACTGTTCTTGAAGGTGCAGTGCAAAGCCCTTCAGAAGGTCTGTTTTACCCAAGTCCATTTACCAAAAGTGATACAAGCAATTTCGGCTGGCTTTCAAGTGTGACACCTTGTTTTCCGGTAAATGCAAGCAATATTAGGATTATCAGTGAACCCTACCAATTTTATGAAACTCTATTGCATTACTGTGAAAGTGCCTCACGAAGAATTACACTTGTTAGTCTATATTTGGGAACAGGCGACTTGGAAAATCAGTTAGTCAAAGCTCTAACAGCAAACAAACAGTTCCAAGACAAGAAGTTAATTATTAACGTGCTTCTTGATTATACAAGAGGCAGTAGAAATAGGAACAACTCCCGTACAGCACTGCAACCACTGTTGCAAGACAATGAAACTAATTGTACAATATCTTTGTATCACACGCCAGTATTAAGAGGACTACTGAAGAAGTACATGCCTAATCGATATAACGAACTTATTGGGCTTCAGCATATGAAGCTCTACATTTTTGATGATACTCTAATCATAAGTGGTGCTAATTTGTCAAATGACTACTTTACAAACAGACAAGACAGATATTATTTAATTGAGGACAAGAAATTGACGGATTTTTACTCCGGTCTGGTACATAAAGTTCAAAGTTTTAGCTTAAGAATGGACAAAAATAACAATTTGAGTTTATCAACTGATTGGAACTGTGCACCATATGAAGGAAACAAGCAGGATTTCATCGAGAAAGCTGCTGATCGAGTGGAATCTTATTTGGAGGAATACAAACAGGAACAAAACATGCACTCTATTCACGATTGTGGTAAGCCTATCCAAAGTGGTTAACAATGTTGCAATAAATGGTTACCGATAAAAAATGTTAATCACGGAAAATACAAGGCAATAAGGCCGAATAAAGTGTGCTGCTGTGGCAAAGTAATAATTTTTGGCGCTCTAAGTATGCAAGATGTCATAAAATGTAATTATCACGGTCAATCTATTTCTTTTAATTAAAGGAAATAGCTATGTGAATTTTTTCCCTTACTTTTACTTATGTATTGGTCTCTAAGTCGAATCTTCCATTTTAAGATACATACATTTTCCCTACATTCCAAATGGGACAATTAGGAGTCGAACAAGACTCGTATATCACCGAAAAAGTATTAGGAGAAGCGCCTGTTGGTAGCAAATTGAGAATAGCTACAGGCTACTTTAACTTAACTAGTCAATATATGAGCACATTAATACACGACTGCCAAGCTGATTGTGAAATTCTGATGGCACATCCCAAAGCAAACGGATTCTTGGGAGCTAAAGGCTTAGCTGGAGGTATTCCCTATGCGTATTCTTTAATAGCTGAGAAATTTAGAAGGCAATGTGAAAAGAATAAGCAGCAGCATAGAATATATTTGCTAGAATATTTGCGAGATGGATGGACCTATCATGGCAAGGGTTTATGGTAAGTGTTGGAAACTGTTTTTAATGGAACTGTACGGGCACAATCAAAGATCTTTTTATTAGCAAAATCAGACGACTGGGTTTTCACCAGGTGCCACGAATTTACTTTATTGTGGATTTGTCCATAATGAATCTAGTGAAGCAGAGTAAAAGTAATGGCTGTTTTAGATGCAAAGTAACAAAAGACGAAGCAACATGTATTATTTATCGAGTGAAATTAAAATCTATAAAACGATTTGAATTAAATGTTTACGGTCTATTAATGAAATGTCCCTACATTGTTCGACTAAACAGCGAGCAAGCTAGTTTGCTTCTACAAAAAATAGATACGATGCAAGTGTTGATGCGTTACCGTTCTTCATATATCAGCTGGCTTTCGAATAAAAAGTATATACTTTTAAAATTACTTACTTATTATATAAGGCCCATTTCTCTGCACGTCTGCAAATCTGGTCGACAAATCGCGTTTTCTTTCCTGGAAACTACGACTTTACGAACATAACCCATTGGACTGTTTATCTTAGGTATTATCGTAGGTTTCATTATTATCGTAGGTTCTTTCTTCAGAAACAATATTTTCTTTCTTCAAAATCTTATGTCTACAGATTTTTCTCAAGTCTTTTACTATAAATTGATAGAGTGCTCTTATTTCTCTCTAAAGAACGAATTCTTCATTAAAACTTTATCAAAAGGTAATCAAGATCTATTACCCAGTGGCTATCCCACGACATTCTTAGGCTCAAGCTATAAGTGAAAATTCCAATTATAAAAGTTATCCTAATGTTTCCATGGAAAATCTGCTAGCGTTTTCAAAGGATCGCTCAAAAGACTATGTTAATAAATTGCTAAATTAAAATAATACAATACAAATATGTAAAATTTTCTCTCTCAACTAGGAAAAATAAATATAAACTCATTGGATATATGCAGTGTCCAAAATACTTTTTTGGCAAAGTTTTTTGTTCACATGTCACTTGAGTATATTGCTTTTTATTTATACAAATACCTGAGGAATTCGGAGGTACCGAATAGAGCGGTAAAAGGTTTACATTTATACTACACCGAAAAGTTACATGCTTAACAAAAAATCTACAACAAAATATAACTTTCTTCAGAAATGGAATTGTCTATAGTTTAGGTTTTAATCTGTTTCAGGTATTATCCACCAAAGAGTAAATATCCGTGCCTGACGATGGTGGGATCACCAAATTTCGGCGATCGATCGGTTACCAAAGATTTAGAGACCCAATTGGTGATTGTTAGCGAAAATCCTCAACTAAGGAAACAGATGCACGAGGAAAGTGAGCGACTTTATGGAAGAGGACTCATAGCTGATACGAAAAGGGAGGTGCCATTATGGGTGAACACGTTTGTTTCACTTTTTCGAAGTTATTTTTAATGTTTGTCAAAAGTTGTTTTTTTATTTATTTGTTGATGAAGAAGCATTTTGCCCATTGATGCTGTGGATATATTTATGAAGCTTAATATATAGTGTTATCCCAAATCGGTACAGAGAGAACAATTTATACAAGCCTAATAATAATCCTTTACGCGCATCTTAATCAATGTATTGTTCGACAAAAATGGAATACAATTCTCGTAAGGCGCCGAAATAAATATTTTGTCTTACAACTTTAAGGAGACAATAAAACACCAGCCATATTTTTTTAATATATGAACTATTTTCGCCAAATTTGTAAAAAACACTTACAATCTTATTAAAAAAAAATCCTTTTGAAGGCGATGCGCATTATTCATAATCTAAACCTTTTAACATTAAACGGGTGAAGCCATATTCTACCTGAGTGTAAAAAAATACATTTTCTTTGTGATATATACCATGTGAACGTTAAACCTTAGTCCCCAAATATAGCAAGTCGGAGAATGAGAAAACAAATATAACATAATTTGAAACGAATTCCTTTTCCTAGCAAGGTATTTAATTTATCCAGTACCTGGGGCCTATAATGCCAAACGATTTTTTATTGGTGGTTCATATAATCCTATAAAATATGATTTATTTTATAGATTTTATGAGCCTTAGGCAGAGATTAGTCCAATTTTGCTATATTCAGTCGAAAGGTCTATTGTCTACCATTTGAAAGGCATTTGCATTTTTATCCGTGTATAAGAATAAGTTAACTAGTTCAATCTTTGGTAGGCTTTACTTTACTTACACATCTAGTGGCATGACTAGTATGTTAATATCACTCAGAAACTAAACACTTTGCCGACTTTTACGTTTCGTAAACTAATAACTTCAACGCAAGCAAAGTCCGAAACAAAATCACTAAAACTAAAATAGGTTCGGCAATTTTTGACAAATACATAGGGCTAACTTGCCGGTATTGAAAAAGTATTTTTGACCTGAGATGAACAAAAGTAATAAAAATTCCTGGAAAATCATGAAAATTAATAATGAAGTCTCACAATAAAATGAGTGAATACAAACATTTCCAGAAATTTTTAAACACAACAAATAGAAAAATCGAAATTATTGTCAATTACTAGATATGGAATAATATTGTGTAAAAACGTGAAATGCAAAATTAACCTGACTGATTCTGCTACGTATATAGAAGCTTTGAAAATAGGAACTTAAGACATTTATGTTGACAATAATTTCACGAATGATGAGTTATCAAAAGATGAAGGCTTTTATCAATGGAAAACTGCAATCCAGACGGTATCTGTTTAGGGTACCTACATGATACATCTGTGACTTAGGTACAGTGGATTGAAGCTTTCATTCAAAGCCTCCACATAGAGAATTAATTTTTAAGGTAAATTAAACAACTTACTCTTTCAGTCTTTGGTATAAACACTAAATTAGAAATAAATAAACTCAACATAGGTATATGTACAAAATATTATATACATAAGGTGTTGTGATGTAAATTAATAAAAATCACCCACATAGATACAAGACGGTCTTGCACCTGTTTGTGATCGTATTATTATCTGAGCAACTATTTGAAAAGCTTCAAATCTTGTACATAAGCAACCAGAAATAGGTGTATACCTAAACAACGTACAGTGTTTATGACTTAGGCTTAAGTCTTACAAAAATCAGTACAAATAGTAAAGTTTATATACAAAACCATTGATAGACTATCAAAGACAAAAATGACTGATGTTTACACACCGAATCGATTGTAAACATATTGACTATTAACACCATCTCCTAAGTTATCGAGTTGTTCGACGGTGGGATTCATTACGTTGAACAAAATAGCGAAAATCGTACACGCTGCGTACACTCCTAAGGCGACCCACCATAGAAGTTGTTCGTGCAATTTCTGTTCGAAATTTTTCAATACCAAAAGCCCGATAGTGAGGCCTGCTAGGGCTCCCGTCAGATGCGCCACATAAGACACTGGGGGTCCCATTACTTCCTCTGCGTACCTTGAGTAGATTGCGTAACCTACGTCGCATGAAGCTAAAAAAACAAAAAAAACACGTTTAAAGTGTGCCAACTTGGTCAGTGCTGACATAGCGCGACAAGAAACGCTTCGGTTAAAAAAAGGTTTTTTACCAGAATGTATACAGGGTGTTTATAAATATCTGATAGAGTGATTCAATTATTAATCGGAGAAACGAATAGCCCTGAAATGATTTACACCCATTTTAATCTTGATGCCGGTACATCCGCCATCAGCAAAATTAAAAGTTAGTCTTATTTTATTTGTGATTTGGCAAAGTTCTCGCATGCATAAATTAATTTATTTTGCAACCTCATGTTTTCATACTCATTAACTCGTTCTTTTTCGCAACAACTCGAAAACGGTGGCGCATGCAAGAAAGAAAGTTTTGCGACGTTGTTAGACGTGTAACATTTTTCGGAATAATAAAGAGAAACATGACTCCTTAAAAAATATAATTCGGTACATTCTTATACCGTTTGACGCAGTGAACGAAACAACAAAGACCAGGCTACATTCCAAACTTTAAAACTTTATTAATTTGAACATCCTGTAGCTCGTGCAATAATGTAAATGCTTATTCTGCGATTAAAAATAAGACAAATTGTTCATATAAAGATAGGTCCGCAAACGCTTGCTCTGAAAGATACCGAGTAAGTTTAGTTTTTTGCCGTTATCTCTTATTTGAAAAAGCTAATTTATTAGAATAAGTTATGCCTAATCTTTGCGACAATATACTGTGTAATTACGTCGTGTTGAATAATGAAGACTTTTTCAACTGCCCTTTCTGAGATATTTTCCATATCTTTCTATGTAATGGAAATGGTTGTGAAAATCTACGAAGCTATTAAACAAATAAATGTTTCGAGAATCAGCTCCAGTAAATGTAATCAGAACTACAAAAGTAAATTTTTGTTGTGAGGTAAAACTAAAAATGATTTTTTGCAATTCGCTCAAATTGTTTATTATGGGAATATTCTACTATATTAAAGTATTATTTTTGAAATTAACGGACTCATATTATCCAATTGTTATCACACATTGTTTACGTAAATTATCCTGTTCCAAAATTGTTACTAAAGTTGAAGTAACTTCGCAATTGTATGATACAAGACATATAAAGTAATAAACGATATTAGTGTCGCAAAAAATCCCGTATGACGAAACTGGTGAGAAAAAAACACTCATCAAATGATTCGCAATTATTTGATAATAAGTTCCTTTAATTCCATGTAAATATTTGACCCATATCTGTTTGCTGTGATAATTAATATTGCATTCCGTGATAAATTGGCCACGGCGATGAAAAGATGTAGAAACAAAAGTGGAATTTGCCCACATTAAGGTACCACTTAATTGCTCTTATTAACGATCCACCTGCGCAAGTTAATTCGTAAGATGAAGGCTTGAAAAAAATGAAGAATTTATACCCTTACGAGTAAGTAAGCGAATATCAGAAAATCTCTTAATACAACAGCCGAACAACTTGACTAATATTTAATTGATCACTCCCTTTTCTGGCGCTCATATAGGGAGGGAGCTTCTGCTATTGAAATGCATCTCAGAAATTTCAGAATTCTTAAAAAGGCACTAAATTACTTTTTTTCAATTTACCATTGTCCCACCGCAAAACGTTCGGAATGCAAACGAGGACATATATAACGAGGAAAAATATCAATCTATAACATAAATTTCGAAAGTAAAGATCGAAAATAAGCATGTATGTACATAATATTTGCGGACGTATGTCCCTGTCCATAAGCTCTGGAGATGGTAAACATATATTATCTAAGCGGGAATTGAAAATGGGAAAAATACTCGTTATGATTTCTTATTCGTTATCATATTGAAGAGTGTGTGGTGTGTCGACTCGCTAAATAAAATGTGTCAATAACGATAGCGACTTTCTTACCTATTGCGAATATCCCAAACAGCCGCAGAATGCCGCATTGCATATTGTTGTAGTTCAACAAGACATTGGCTAAATGGGCTGCTAGCAGTGCATACACTCCTCCACTAGCACCCACTAGGTAAACATCCGTATCAAAAACGGAAGTACCCAAGGAACCCGCTGCCACTCCAGCAATGTAGATCAGCGCTACTCGGCCTGATCCATGAACCATTTCCAGCGGCAGGCCCACCAGTAACTGAACTACCAGATTGAACCCGAGGTGAAGCCATCTGAAAATATAAACAAATATTTTTTTATATATGAAAAACTCCATCGACATGAAAATACTAGGAAAAGAAATGGTCTAATAAGAGAGCGTCAAAAATAATCAGTACAAATTTGGATGGACATTTCAATATGGAAGTAAATCCGAGAGCGAAACAAACCAACTTTCCAACTTAATCAAATTTAGCGCAAAAGTGATTATTAATTAACAGAGTTGTGTTTAGTTACAGTTGAATTTCAGTTTAGTCGCGGAAATGTGCGCTTGCAAAATTTCACAGCACAATTAACATTCATACTAGAAAATTTCGCACTCTAACTTGCCGGCATAACGAGCAGGATGTTTCCAATAAGATGCATTGTTTGAGTGCAAGAGAGCGTAAACAATAAAAGACGATAAGTTTATTAAAAGAAATTATCTAAAATTGCAGGTCAAATACGATTATTAGTTTAGAGACATAAATGTTTTTTATAGTTTGCGTTAATGTTTTTACAGTTTTGACATTGAATATGATTTGTAATCATTTGCTTTTAAAAAAATATTAGAAAAGCGCTGTTATGATTTTGTGGAATGTGGAGTTTGACAAAACCCTTTCCAAAAAGGTGCAGCTATTTTATTCAAATACTTAAATAGCTTAACATCAATCTATGTTCTTTAATAAGGGAAAAGGAATATTTTTTATGTAGACATACTTGGCGAGAAGCCGGATAAAATGTTGGTCTTTTTTTCTTGTCAAGTTTTCCCATTTGGACTAACGAAATATTAAGCCAATATAATGCAAATAATTAAAAGCGGAAAAGTATAAATTGGAACAAATTTATGGTTTTTTCAAAATTCAACTTCATTTCAAATTCAACGTTCTAGATCTTCTGCTTCATATAAAATCCAGTTCATGCAATAATTCGAGCTTTGATTTTTACTGGACAGTGCGTTAAAAAAATCTTAGATAATTCTTGTTCCTTAATTTCGAAGATACTGACCAACCAGACAAATTGAATCAAACAGGAAATTGTTGAAGTTTTCATAAATGCTATCTTTTTTTTTTTTCGAAAGCTGTCTTATTTCGAAGATCGAAGAAGCAAATTCTGTAAAAAATAATTTTGATAAAGGTTCACGAAATGTAATCTGAGCAGCTTGGTCTTTGATAATTTTTGAAAAGTAACTTTATTTCGAAGATAAAGGTCGAACAAACAAGTTTAAGAAGAATGTTGAAGATATTTAATCTAAATACGTTTGATTTTTGATAGTTTTTGTAAAACCGCCTTTCTTGGGAGATTTAAGTGGAAGGAACACGTTCTGTTAAGAAAAAAATGATTTGAAAAGAATGCATGCATTTCAATATTGGATTTTGCATCCTAGCTGGAAAGCTAGTTGTTCTGAATTCAGAAATTTTACATTATTTACACAATATGGTCGATATTTTTTCAATCAAGGGAAGTAGTTTTCCAAAAATCATCAAACAACTAAATTTTGCTAGAATAATACAGATGATGAGATGAAGACATTGAGTTTTAATGTTTGGATAATAAATACCCTAAATATTTTATGATAAGAAAACAAGTTTCAAGTAAAGAAACAGACAACGGTGACAAAAAATCCGATGTACATAAAACTACCGCCAGAAAGCAAATATTTTAATACCAAATATTGTGGGGCGCTTAAGCTTTTAGAAATTAAGAATAGACATTGTCTTTGTGCGAGGAAACCCGTCTAATAAATTTCCGAATGTTTTTGTGGCAAACCGCTGAGCTAAGCCGGTAACTTCAGAACTTTCCCTAGCTAGTTTTCCCGAATAGTTTGTTTATGTAAGTAGTGGGCTTATTTAACGGGACCTTTTATCTAATGCCGACTCGTAAATATGCATTCAAAGTGATGCCAGATCCTGACGACTGTATCATATTATTAGCCAATATAAGAAATTTTAATGCTAAAAACCACTTACCCCGCATGAAGAAGCATGTAAAATAGAAACCTCCATATTTCTATCCTTTTATCGGGGCGGTAGATAAAAATTGATTCTGTTGGAACTGGACCTGCCGGATTCACTACTCCAGCGCTCACTGAATAGTAGATAAAAAATCCCAACTGTAACAACAGAAAAAAATTTTAAATTTGCTTTATGTGAGACTGAAATGAAGGAAATGATGGACTCTTTCAGACTCTGAAAATTAACAGTAGACAATTTATGTAAGTAACCTAGTGAAGGTTTCGTTCTCAAATAGAAAAATCGGCATGTTTCCCACAACAGTAAGAATTTTTCTAAAGTTCAACAATCGAGCAAGTTCACACAGTTTTAGGTCAAACTGAATATAGCAATGTAGGCGTGTGTGTACATAAACGTTATCCTTAATTAAATTCTTGGTAAATTTATTGTCAAGTTTTTGCAATGCATTTTATCACGATAACAATAAAGTAAAACCTAATGTTACATACCTGATAGCGAAATCATATACAGACATAAGTATAATAAATTACTTACCTAGTGTTTAAGTTTATCGCTAAGATGCATTGCGAAAAAACCTTTTATTCAATTAAATCGTTAACTACCCATAATGAACTTTGTAGAAGGCAACTCATAAAATAAAGAAGATAGACAAGAAATCAAGAATTAGCTTGTGCTTGTATTTATTTTTAATTCCCACATTTGCCCCGTAAAATTAAATCCTATGACGCAAATAACAACAGTTTTAACAGTAAAGTAACATAAGAACAAGCGTGAGAATGTAAACTGGTTCATTGTAATGCCAGGCAGTAATTAGGACGAATGGCCGAATAATTAAAATAATAGTAATAATAATGTGGTAATAATTTACGCTAAAATGCATGCGATTGGAATGATTCTGCAAGTTCTTTATATGGATTTTTCTAGAATTTTATCTATTTCGTATATTCAATTATAAATATTTTATTCGGAAAGTTTGGCTTGGCCTCCACTTTACTTCAAGTGACCCTCAAAGTGAGCTTTCAGAAAGTTTAGATCGATACTAGTGTGTTGGGGGAACATGGAAACATGGATTCTTAGTAAAATTATCAAATCCTACTTTCGAAGAAGCACGCGATTTGAAGGAAAAACAATGAATCAATTTATAATATATAATTCCCATTATTCATTACTTCCAAAAATTGATTTTCCTTTTAATAGACGTGGACGAAAAACCCACTGTTTTATCCGGTTACAATCAATATGTGTCTAATTTGAACCAGATCCCATTTACCAATTGTAATGCTGATTTACTTTGTCAATTTGCAAGTTTCTAATTACTCAAAACATCAAGCATGAATTGATTTCTAAAAAGTTACTATTAAAGAATTGAAAAAGAATCGTTAAAAATAATGTAGCCAGCATCGGATAATGTTCAATTTAACTTCTAAACAAGGTTTAGCAAGTTCTCGTATAATAAAATTTGCAGAACAAATCGATTTGCACGATCTAAAGCAGCTGTGTTGCTGATGGCTAGAAGGGGCGCCGATGAGGCTCCTCATAGTAATCGATATTTGTCGCGACACATTTTCCGGACGTCTGCTTCTCCAATTCTATTAACACAATCAAAATACCAAATTCATTGTGTTGTTTGGAAATTTTCATGCCGCATTTTACCATTTTTGTTCGGTAAGATTTTTTCCATAGTAACATTGTTCGTATATAAGTCTTTTTGTCGATCATTTGAAGCTCTGTAGGCTCGTCAGGACGCAGATTTGCGTGTTTGTGAAATGAATGCAAAAAATACCTGTGTGTGACATTTCACACGAAAAATAAAACCGATAGGTGTTTTTCTATAACATCTAAAAAATGTCAATGTTATTTCAATCTTCAACAGAAAGTTATATAAGAAAGCGTGCAACATAGAAAAAATGCATTTGAAAGTGTTAAATAAAATATTTAAATGACCGAATTTGCAGGAATGACAAATATTGATACAATATCTCATACAACTCTCAAAAATATGCTTCATTTAAACTCAAACCTATTTTCGACATACGAAATATCTTGTATCATTCATTATTCAATTTAGCTCCTTTCAATCGTTTCACAGCTTTGACTAATAAGGATCTTTGTATAGGTATACAGAGTGTCCCATTAGTTTAATTGCATCTAGAAATAAAAATACCATATTTTATTAATTTTTCGATCAGCATAGGCGAAAATTATTTGTAATTTCCATAAATAATTCCACATAAGACTACCATAAAAGACTACCGACATCAACTGTGTTTTTTTTTTAATAACACAACCAAATTGTCACTTTATTTCTGAACTGTTTAAAATTTGCAAGAATAACTTTAACCATATACCATAGTCAACCATTTGCTCGTATCGTTGAACGGAAATTAAAGTTTTTATTACCAGTAATATCCCTTGCAATGGCTATACCAAAAATAAATTTCTCAGAAACGATAAGAGGTAGGGACTTATTTATTTCTTAATCTTTTAGAGGAATAAATAGGATTTATTTTTCTTGCTTCAAGGTTTTGCTGGCTGGCTGGTTACATGGCTCAGTTACATTTTCTACAAATTGTCAAAGTTGAAATAAACATCTTTAAACATGTTAGGATATAAAACATATTGAAATCAACAGACGCAGTATTAGATATCAAGTAAATTCACTCACAAAATTGTATTTCGATTAAAGAAAAATAGTTTGTCAATCCAACAACAAAAATTGCATTTTCAGATCTCCAGGTTAAGAAAACACATTTTTTTGCCCATCTCTAATCGTTTAGTTGCAGTCAAATTTTTTGCAGCAAAAAACAAATTTAAAAGTTTTGCTTTACTAGCGATAATCTTGATGTTCACCCTGTCATCATATCCATATATCTGTAACTACTATTTTTAAGCTTTTACTATTTTTTAAATTGCATCGTTTGGTACTAATTTGATATTTAATATTGCCTTATACTTGTAGTAATTACAAATAATCATCACATATTTGGGAGTATTTTCCTCTTTGATCCATCTCAATTATCCCGATCTTTTAAAAAAACACTAAAAAAATATATACGGACTTTTGTTGTTTAAATCATGAAATGATACATCATGTAATTAATAAATAATAATGACAATCTCATTGATTTTATTTAATGTAATAAAAAATTAGGGCTGTGTTACAAAACATAAACCACTTTTTTATTTCTTGGCGCGTTCAATGCAGCTTACAATAAAATCGCTTCGCTTTACTTGTTTGAAACGAATTCATAAACTGGCGTAATAAAATTGGCCAGACATACTTCCTGCGAAAAACATACATTTTACGAGCCGATTACAAACAAAATCACTCATTAGCTCATCAATTTTGCCCACTAATTAAGAACCGTAAAAGAAATAAAGTCGCAGCTAATATCACGAGCATACGGCAATTATCACTGTTGTAATTGGCAATCAAGAATGAGCGAGTGCCAGATATAACGGCGCACGTTTATTACCAAGTGCCAATAATACATAAGCACCACAATCTGGAAATCTTGCAATTATTTTGGGTTTACAGATAGTTTTCACGAATATTTTATCTCGATCCAGATTTGAATTGTAATAAAGGTTGCACATCTGCATTATTAACTCGCAGAATTATTCTCTAAATGTCTTTGTTTTGATTTTTTTGATTAGTTGTTATAACAAACTTGCTGCTGATAAATAACGAAAATTCTGCCTTGGACCAGAGTGACGAAATAAAGTAAATAATTTTGAAGAAAACTTTTGCAAACTTTAACTTCCACTACAAAGAACGCTCCCTTAAAGCCTCACAACTGATTGTAGTGCCTACACCCTTGTACTTAAAAAACAAATAAATAAATTGATTTATTTGATGAATTAATAAAGCCAAACATGCATAATAGCCAAGTCGCGTAAAACAGACGCAAATCCACAAAGGACTTTTTGCAAAATTGAGATCCGCCCTTATCGGACATGCAAGTTAGCTTCTGGGGTCGTTAACTCGAGAAGGGTCGTTTCGCTCCTTAGAAGCCAGACGGACCTTACTTTTGGACACATTGCCTCTAATTTGGTGGCGAAATAGGGGAGAACCGTAGATAATAACAGAAGTCTACCGACAAACGCGTTGTTGCCAAAAAAAAACTGATGGGAATCAGCATGAAACTGCACAAACATATTTGAAAACCTCTATATCCTACTGCTATTAAATAACGAATTTTTAGTTATGCGCCAAAACGTGAAAATAATAGGAAATAAACCCAATAAGAATACATAAACTTGAAAATAAAAGCATTAAAAGTAGGCAGATATAGGTTGAAATAAAATTCTAGTAGCTTTAGAGATTTGTAAAATTAGAGTGACAAAAAATGCAATTAAATGTTTATCCTTGATTAAAATAATCTAGTAATAACAAAAACATGATTGAAAAGCTATGACAGACAATAATAACAACAAATAAAAACAAAATTTATAATTGAAATAATATGAAAATAATTGATAATACTTTTAATTTACTAATCAATTTTCATCTGTGAGTGAATTAAAAATTTGACAAATCAGAACCGACTTAGTAAACCGTTATTTTCAATTTAGTAATGAAATATCAAACAAAATCTAAGGTATTGACAACAGATGTAATAGTGTTCGGAAGGTGAAATAGAATTAAAAATAAATTGATGATAAACGAGCTTCACGTAAGGAAAATTGAAGTAATTCGGTAAAAAAATTAAAATATATCTATGACTACCTATATTAAAAGTTGTTAGATAAAAGGATTGATACAAGAAATAGTTTATGTAAGAAAATATGAAGACTCCTAAAAAAAATCTCATTATTTATATCTACGAAAATAGCGCCAAAATAGAACGTATCAAGAAGAGCTGATTTTGATCTCAAAGTAAGAGATCTAAAGTACAAAACACGGCATATGTTTTACATGTGAAACTCTCCATCTCTGAATCCAAAATAGTACACATTTCAACCAACACTTTCAGGCCCTGTAACATGCTAAGCACAAAAACTATTCGAAAACAATTTGAGTGCAATCGGGGCTCTATTTTTTTCTTGAAATCATTTGAACACATTAATTATTGCCAACATAAAAAAACCATTATTTAATGTTAACCAATGAATGCAATAAGCAGCAATATAATCCGGATTCGCAACTTAAACCGAAAAATGTTCATATAAGTAAACCACCGAAATATTTTAGCATTTAGCAGTTACTTGTGATGGTGTTTGAATTATTTAGATTTGCTTATACTTGTTATCTAAAATACATTATAGTGTCTGGCTTGGCTTTTAATTGCTGTTTTATGCAGTAAGTTTCACGGTTTTTTCATAAATTCCACAACAGATACTTCAACAAAAATAAAACTTTGAAACACGATTTGATTGAAATATGAATGATGATGAAATTTGAGGAAAATACGAATGTTATTTATTACTTAAACGTAGATATGGGTTTGTGGTGATGATAACGGGGGCGTAAGGGACGTTATATTTAAATTGAAAAAATAGCAATTTGGCTCCAAAGTGAGAAAACTGAAACCAGTGCATCCAAGGATTTAAAAAGCAAACAATTTTAGCTTTCATCGCCCTGGACCGAACGTTCTGCTTCCAACACGTCGTTCCAGCTTGCAACGTTTTCAGTGCTGAGCGCTTTTTCAGAAAAGCGCAATTTTCCTTTGTTAAAGTTTCGCTAAGCAAATAAACGAGTTTACCCTCCAATCCAATTCCAGAACAGCTAAAAAGGAATTGAAATGTCTATAGCATGTTAAATGGATTCGTTGTATAAACACCAGCGGATGCTGCAGTTGAAATTGATGGGGCTTTTCAGCAAGAGCATTGAAAAAGTCGATCGAGATGGTGTGAAATAACGAATTTATTATGACCGTAGGGTCCTGTCTATATTTGAAAATATAATTGAACAAAGCCATAAAGCGAATTTGCCACACTTCGTAAGCCAAATGACACATTTTGTATGGCTGCCGGCTGCTTTAATTATTGGACATGTTTCGAGCCTGTTTCAACCATATGTCGGGTTCGATTAACTTGAAAGAATCCAAATTTAGGGTAAATGTTTACCGGTAGACGTCGCGGAGATACAAACAGTGAGCACGTGCCCAAAGACGAAGAAGGCATTTTTGCACACAGGAACACACTATTCAGCTTTGATCACTGACCTCAGTCGCTCAAAGATTTGATAATATACCGATTTAACAATGAACTCACACGTTGATCAGTAATGCATACTTTTTTGGCTAAACAACTACATTAGCGACCTACTGTTGGAACAAATATTAGTCAATGGCTTTACAGGTCTTCAAGAAGAATATCATGTCATAAGCGGTAAAAATAAAGCATGTCAGAAGCGAAAAAACCTTTTTAGAGAGGAAAGCTTGTATGATTTAAACAGATCTGCAAAGCATCCCTAATGCACAACAAACTCCAAAAGTCCGAATTAACTTAAAAATAAAAAATAACGTATAAAATAAGGTAAACGACCGAATGGTTTCTTCCTAAAACTAATCAGCCCCATGTGTTTCCCTAAATGTAGAAAATGTAGCAATGGGGCACGGGACCTGCGATTGATTACTTCCTATTTTACCTTAAGAACCCTGATGAACAGCTGTTCGTAAATACCATCAGTTTATTAAACCCGGTTTATTTTTACATTCTGTCTGTTTAATACTAAAGCTCGGTTGCTGCGAATTGTTTAAAGTTCAATTACATAGAGACTGTGTGTCATACGAAACAGTAGTATTTTAGGACTTTCTTAGTTACGTGGCGGGTTAAAAGGTCTTCGTAGACACTAACTTAACCGAAATTTTAATTTTTACTGGTGTTCACAAACAACTTCAAATTATATAGATAATATATTATAATTTTCTTTGCCAGATTTGTGAAAGTACATCCACTTTTTTTTAAATAATTGGGTCCTATTGTGGAGTTTTAATTTGAGCTTTACATATTTAAATAAACTATTATTTGCAACTAATTTCAGTAAATAACAGCGATAAAATAAAAAGCCATTAACCCACATTAGCGTTATCCTTTTTTACTAATCTCATTCAAACGCCGTAAGATTATTTTTCACTTGACTTGAGTTGTTTTATGATAGTCAACTGAAGTATTCAGTTGTAAGTTGTTCAGTCAGAACGTCACAAACGTTGTGAAATTGAAATTTTGCACTTTCGGGATGGTAAATGACGAGAAAAATTAAGTATTCAATCGATTCGTGAAAACAAACACGAGTTATTCACATACGTTTTAAATATAATTTTCATCGTTTTCAAATAATATTTCCTGAATGCACATTTTGGGGATCGCAAGATTGGCAAAAAGCATCCTTGACCACCGAGATCACCGAATTTCACTCCCCTAGATTTTTGTTTATGGGGATGGATTGAACTCGTTGGTTAATGGCTGCGAAAGTGGACACAAGCAATTAATTACTAGTTAGGATTCTTAATGCTGCATTGTTCAAAAGAGTGAATTATCATCCGAAAAATACTCGTTACTAAATCAATTTATAAACTCGCAAATAAAGTGTATGGAAGAGGGAGATGATGTTTCCGAAAATTTATTTACGGTTACTTATTGATTTCGTAATATTTTTTTACAAACTTCTTGTTGGGTATTTTGCCTCAAAAATTTTTGAAATAAAGAAGTTTGTAAAAAAATGTATCCGCCTCAACAAACAAAAAAAGTGTTAGTTTCTTAATAAATATATTTGGCGACTAATTTGCTTACAATACGACATACGTCGATGTAATTAGTACAAATGTTTTAAAGCGTGTTGCGCATATTGAAACTTTATCAATATAAAGTTTACAGAAAAAGGTTTACACTAAAATTCAAAAGCAAAAAATATATTCAGTGTATTTTTTACCAACAGTAAAATGAAACTAAATAGGAGAGAGCAATAATGTAACGACTAATGCTTATTTAAGCATTTTGTCTTTTATTTAAAAGACAAAATACAAATTGATATTTGCCCATTACTTCAATAGATTTTTTAAACGCGTTAATGAGTACCGTGTTTAGATGTTTTTTGTAAAAACCACTTATAATGAGAAAAAACAACATATAGCTCGAAAATACGATTAGCTGTTTGATATTCAATTGCAAAGTTACATTTTAATACAACTTACCTCAACTAAGGTGATAATTATAATAAATAGTGGAGGGGGGCAACATGTATAGTGGTCAGCGTAATATTTTCTATCCCTGTCGTCCGTGAGGAACTCGTCCGCTACTATGGTGACCATCCTAAAAAAGAAGTAAAATTTCATTAACATTTTGTTCAGCATTCTTGTGCCGCTACTGCGTATCCAGACCACGTCACCTTAAACGTCTCATTTACCGCGTCTTGATCTTCAAAGAAAACTAGTAAATTAGCCGAAACCCAAACAAAAAGAAATCAAACAAGACCAAATCCAAAACAGTGCGTTTAGTAGTCAGTGTAGCCATCATTCCAGCTAGATCCCACCTCTTAAAATAAATAGGCTACTTTGGCGTTCGTGTTTATTTTGAAGGCAACAACTATAAAGCAGAATTGTAAATAGCACGATATTTATCTGCAGTAGTTAAATATCGGTTATTCTCGTGTTTGGGTATAACAGGTCGACTGCTTGAAATGCTACAGGTAATAATAGTTCAGTTTAATAAAAAATGATACAGACATAAATTGAACCAGCAAAAATGCTTCCGAAGAGGCAAAAGATTGCAGCTAAATTCCAAACACATTTGTGCTATAAAATCAACAATAAAGAACATGTTTCGGATCAAAGTAAAATGGGTGGTTTGGATTTGCAATTTTCAATTTTCCTTCGGATACTTAAAGCTGGCTATTTTTTCTTGTCAGTGATCGTTTCCCAATCACTGAATAGTGTTTATTGAAAGTGTGCAGTAAAATTCAGAAACTGCAATTGATATGCAAGAACGGCACCTTTGAATAGAAGAAACTTATAATAAAACAAACAGAAATAATGTCAGATTCATAAATATGACAATGCAAAGTGAGATTCTAGGGAGGGTCTAAATGTGAACAAAAGTCTCTACGAATGGCTTTTTTTATTAATCAAGATCTTTTAAACGTATTCAGTCTCAAGTGGGTAATGCAATGTTAATATTTTTAATTAAATCTCCAATTAAAAGACTCCAAGTTAATTTATTCTCTAAATTTTTTTAAAATTTTCAACTTTGGAAAATATTTTTGAATCTACATATATTTAGTACTCGTAGTACATGTTTGTTTTTACTCTTTAGAAATGTTAATTTAACTAGCGCGTAGTCAGGTAACTTGAATCAAATAAAATACAAAGAACCATTAAATAGACAAATGTTTCCATGACAGTGTTAACTAGGTGACAATGACAAAGTTAACTAGGTAAATGATAAAGATTAGTTATTAGTTATTAGTTAAGATTTTTAATCTGAAGTGAAAGCCTGAAAAACCAAAGCGTATAGAAATGTGAAAGAATAATTAAAAAATAAGACAATAAAACTCTCAATTTATTATTACACATACTTATTATTTTTACACTACTATATTACACTTGCACAACAGGGTGATTTAAAATTGGCGTCATTCCTCTGGAAGTGTTGTCTGGCGCTGTTATAGGAGTACAGAAAAAATAGTAAAAGAAATTAATTGTTATTAAAAACTGAGAAATTTGCAAAAAACTATATCAGAAATACGGCAGCAATGTTTTTCAAGGTAATCTGCCTAATTAACATTGCGCAAATACCTGTTGCTTCGTACTTATTTAAAACTCCGGTAACCATGGAATTATATAGAGTGACAATTAGATAGACAAAGATAACCGGTAAATTCAACAAGATCTGTTATAACCTCGAGTATTGGTGTTTATAAATCAACCAAACAACACCAAACATTTGCATGGTCTCCAAACAGCTCCAAACAACCTAGTGCCTGTGTAATCTCCTTATTATCACTCTTATCAAGCAGCTTCTCGTATTCAGTTAAGTAACTCCAGTTGTATCTCCTTGTGCTGTGTGTATCGCACAAACGAGGTAGGAATGTAGCCCTTCCCCGGTATTTATTTGGTGCTTGGGAAAGTGTCAGTTGTTGTGCTCTGAGTACCCCTGGAAAGCCCTGATTCGATTATGTCCAATACTTGCTCCTCTGTGTTGGAACTCGAACATCAATTGTCGTCCACTATCTTCCTGGAACCACTCTCCTCGCCCTTTGTTGGCGTGAGTTCATTCAGCTTCTGCTATGTTACTGTAGCATTTCACCTGAACTAATCGCATATCGGCAAATTCGTGGAAATTCAAAGTAAATCACAGTTTGACAAATTATTGTTATTATTGACAAGGGCTATCCACCTGTAACTATCTGTTAATGAGAAAAAAACATCATTGCCGCTGTGCCTTTTCATCAAAAAATTGTAGAAGAAAACTTTTTTGATATCAAAACTTTTCGTAATTTGAAGCAAAGATCGTAATTTTTTTTTGAATGCTTAAGTACTCCAATACGCTACCAATTAAACTTGGAACAATTTCAAAATCATGCTTAATAACAAAGTTGAAATTCGATCTTCAAGTGTTAATATCTTCTAGAAATTTTCGAAAAAAAAGTTTTCAATGTTTTTCTCGTACTCCCCAAGGGAGCCGCTATCACCCCTTAAAAGAAATGACGCCAATTTTGAATCACCCTGTATTAAACAGGCAGAACTATCACCAATGCAACCCTCAGCTTCTGAAAGCAATTATTTATCAACAGATAGTATTTTGCTTCATCTAAATTCAAGAAATATCTTTCTACTGTGGTGTGAAAAGACCTAAAACCCGATTATTGAAAAGATAACTAATAAAAGCAACTAAAATAAAGCAAGAAAATGTTCAAAAGTATTCTACGTATAGAGTTCAATAACCCAGACGATATTTGCTAAAAATGATCATTTATGAAGAAAATTAATCAAAATTTGCTACACTAATATAACCTTCTTAGTGACTAAACATAAAATAATAAAAGAAAGTGAGTATGAATTTTTCGTAACTCATTCGAATGTTTTTTTTTTAATTTTATATTTAAACATAGAAGACTTATTATTGAAATATATGGCAAAAATTTACAGGAGAAAATGGAAATATTGAATTTATAAACTTTTGTTTTACTAAAACGTTGTACTTAAATATTGTTTTCATTGCTACCAAATTTATTCAAATTAATCTATTTTTCCCTTATTAATTTGTCTAGTAAATATTAAAAGCATAAAATATTTGAATAGAAAACAAAGTAAGACAACACCCCCATTCAAAAATTTGATCAAATAATATGCTTACAGTGTAGGATGTAATTTGAAAATAGAAAATCCACGTACCAATTAAAACCTTAAATTGTCTGTTGGAATTCAACGGGCGGTCCTTCAAGAGCTCTTCTCATATTGATTAAGAGCAGTTAATTAGTCTTGTAAAATTTTAATATTGCTTTGTGTTCTTTCCATATAAATGCACCCGCAGTTTACTTTCCTTTTCCGACATCTAGGTCACCTATTAATCCACAAATTATTTTTACTGCCTCGATTAAAACGTTTTCCACACACATTTTTCTTGACTGACTGATGAGATACTTTGTGGATATATCGGAGACATTTCAACAGAAGCGTGGGACTTTAAATAAATAGGAGACAACAATTTGTTAGTTGCTTTACTATCGATTTTATAACGTGAGATTATTTTGCAAAAACCATCTAAATTCCTCCGACAAACATTTAAACAATTCTTAGGTAATTTTCAGTTAGAAAAATCAGCGTCACATAGTATGTCAATGTTAGGAGCAATAATCACAAAGAAATAAAGAGCAAAATATGGAATTTTAATGTGGTTAGAAAAATAATCATAAAAAACTTTTCGCCTCAAAATAAGTAAGTGTCACGCAGTCCATTAGCAACCAATTTTGAAATGTAAAATTAAGTAAACGCGCTGGAGAATTTGGCAGTCACATCCCCTTTGGTGCCTTTTTGAGGTCCATTTTCAATCGACTACCAAAACATATTTAGATGCAAAGTGAATGTCGTCTGCGCTATTTTCAGACTGTCGATCTTCGTTTTGGGATTGTTTCCGTTCTTAGAGTTTCCTGTCCATTTTTCTCACACTGTCTTAAATGCTTTAGGACCCATTGGCGTAACCCCAATGTTTTAAAGTCCGTTTGCAAAAGAATAACAGAAAAACTTTGGACCGACTAGGGGATTTACTTACCTACGAAAAAATGGTGGTTCTACCAACAGTAAATGAAAATCGTTCTCGGACGATACCTCTCGGTCTCTGTGGTGGACGGCACATTTAAAGCTCCTTGATCGTTTTCCGGTCATCTGAAACAAGAAATTTGAAACTGAAAAAATGGTTCGAAACGTTTCTTTCTGTCAAAAAGTGCAAACTTTCTTAACAATCACAGTTCGTTGAAGTCACGCTTAAGTGTGAGCCTCGACTTTTAGAATATCCAGGATTGTTGGTCGAATCGGATTGTCGGTCGAAAGAAACTTTTACTATTGCGGAACTATTATCTTAGTTTTCACAATAGAACAAGGGCAAAATGGCAAATGGAAGAAAGTGAAATTCAACTCGTTGATGATCCTTAACCCGACGAAGCAAAACACCAAATCCCTGGCCGATATTTAATTAATCTGGAGTGTTCATTTACATGGTTTAATTTAGTTAGTCGAGAGGGCGTGTATGTGGTACAATCTCTTTGGCATTCCGATCTAATCGAGATGAGTTATATGTAGACCGGCCCTTAAATGAATTGCCGACCGCGAAGTTTATACCGGGCGCAATTAAAAAGTCTCATCTCTCAAATAAATCGACGCGAGCAGCTATTGATCTTGATGGCAAAGATAACGGACAGGCGAAACCGCCTAGATTGTAATTGTTAATTATCTAGAGGAAATTTAAAATTGTGAATTGGTGTCCGCAAATAACGTATATTCACCAGAAACAAGGTCGGATTTTGCAGTGAAAAGATTGAATGTACATGAAAATTGCGGCTATTAAATGTAATGCAAAATAATATTAAATCGATGCTACATCGATTATAGAGGACATTTGACTACAACAACATATAATAAGGGTTTTATGATTTTGATAAACATTTTCTATCAGCAGCTTCAATTAATTGCTAAACAATGTTTGCTTCAGAGTTAGATAGAATTATTTAAAAGGAATCATTAATCAAATGTCTGTGGAGCATTACTTGCATAGAAAGTACAAGAAAATACTTTCAAATTGATGGCAAAATCATGTAAAGCTACTGAAAACGGGAAAACTATTTAGTAGTTAAAAGAATAGATTATTTATCTTTGATTGATTTATTTCTTAATGAAGTGATTTGGAAACACAAATATTGTAGAAACAGTCCTATCTTTTGGAATGTTGATTCAATAAGCATTGAAAGACAGGTTTTCCAATTTTAAAAGCATAATTCGAATCGTAATGTTTTGGCTCAAATACGTAATACTTATTTATTCCTTATACTGGCCTTAATATAAATTGATAGGGTGTAAAATAGTTAGTAAAAATATACGCAACATACGTCTCCGTTTTTGGATAAATTGTTACTTACTTTGGGACAATTAAAAACCCTTTAATCTTTAGAATGCTAGTTTAGTATTTACCGGCAATCCAAATAAACTAAAATGGACAATCATTGTAATTTATTCAAGAATCTATTAACATTTTGGTTCAAAATTTCTACCAAAAAACGAGTGACCATACACGTTTAATTTTCGAAATGAAATTGCAATATTTTCAGAAGACTTTTGGGACTTAAATCATAATCTTAATCAATAAAGCCACAAGAAAAATAATTCCACGTATTTAAAACGCCGCGGTTATTTTACGAGTATTAACTCTGGTTTTAATACCCATTTTGTTCAGCATATTTCAGAACAGTAGTTATGAAAATATTAAATCAGAGAGAGGGCGTTTCCAAACCACTAAATATGTTAACTCATCTTACAAAAATTACTAAAAGTTTATCGAGAAAGTTACTTTACACTTAGAAATACAAGTATGGCGAGGATAAGGTTTCAAATTTGCTGCGATTTGTTAAAATGTTGTATACCTTATCCAGCTAAACATTGCACAAAAATTTAAGAGAAGCAATAGTCTGCCTCTGCACATATGTATACTTATGTCAATATAAAAACTCTCCGAAATTATGATCCATTTAAAGTACATAACTTTCATAATTCCAATTATATAATTTTAAAGTTATTCTCAAAGTTATCATTTGGCTCTCGCTCATAAAAAAGCTGCACATTGCTTACGGAATAACATACCCGTTCCCCTTAAGTGCTTTTTTCGAAATAAACAATTTCATGCATGTCAGTGCAAAATCACATTGTTTTTAACATTGGCACTGATGTTAATGGGGTGGAACAGATGTTTTACTGAGATATCTGGAGAAGTTTGACGTTTCATATAAGTAGGTACATAATGATGAACTAAATTTTATTAGAATGCGTTTATTTCGAAAATGGTCAAAAATATAGACATTCGAATAAAATAAAAAGAAGCTTGTTCGCACCAAAAATATTTATCATGTCAATCGCCCTGATATTTATAATAACCAATTCATAACCATGCCATCTAGGCAAGAAAAAATGCCAGTATTTTGACCTCTTCTTTATACCACCTTTATTTATGACCACTAGTTATTCCAACATTTTATTTGAAAAATACTTTCTCACAAATTTAACAAGCTTGTTAAGACTTAATTGCTTCCACTAGTCAGAAATGTAGGTATATATAACAATATCTACATATAATGCTAGCCTAGATGTTTGCATGCGTTTCAGAATGGGTGATTTCGAATCAAAACAGCTCAAATATATATCTACGAATGATCTTTTAGTGTTCTTTCCATTTCGAATACTTAATTTTAATAAGTATAAAAAAGTATTGTGCGTGTAGATGCAGGTGTTCAGCTACATGGTTGAATCATTTTTTAAACCAGTGACGGTAAACATTACTTTCGCCGTACATTTACTGAATTTAAAATAATATTTTGCTTGCTACTTTTATCTTGTTTTCACGATGCACTAATAAAATTATCGTTTTTTATTTAGAATTGAAATTTTGAAATAAAACTAATATTTGACTGCCCCGTAAGAACACCATTATAATATTTTCACTTTCAAAAACACATAAAAATCACACAAACTATATATAATAAGTATAATATATCATTATCATGACCAGATGAAAAGAAAAAGCGAACTATAAAACTTTTACTGAAGTAGAAAAACGTGTGAAATTTGAGCGGAAATTGCCTTTTCATATTCCCAAATGTTGTGGTGCTCCAGTTTTTGCAATCGGAAAAGCGCCACTCTCCGTTGGAAATCCATAAATAACCATTTCGGCGATTTCCGACATATTGTATCCTGACAATGTGTTTGACTAGGTGATTGCAAAGTTATATAAACATTTCATAGACTCTTGAGTGTTATGTGTTATGTGCGTTCGATCGCACCGTTTATATCGAGTTCCAATTCCCAATAAAATAAAGTCTTCAACTATTCTAATTTCGTAATAAAAAAATGGTTTAAGTAGATAATTGCAACACATATCGACAGCTTTGCACAATAATAATTACGTTTCATATGGGCTACCATGGTGGACCACAGGGCAGATGGTTACTCTGCAATTTAACCCGGTAATAATCACACGAAGGCGACCTGCGGAGTCCACTCGGTGGTACGGGACTCCGCATGCTTACGATTATTATTCATGGTTTTTAGTGATAGACCGCCTCGAAACCGCCAAGAAGGTGATTTATTTTCATAAATCGGCCGCTCATTTTTTTCAGGACGCAAATAACTGAGCAGTCTACACCGATGCGACCGACCTGCGACAAAATCATTAACAAATGTGCATTCTTTCCTTACCCCATTGTCAGTGTTAACGTTTTTTGTGTTGATGGTCTATTACTGGTCAAATACTAGTTTATGTTAGAAGTGAAACTAAGTTAGAATACCGCTAAGAAAGATTTCAATAGAGAATTAAATGAAGCAGACGACAAGAAAGCTGCGTTAAAAGTGCAATCACCTCTATCATAAATTTGCTGCAAACCTGCTCCTTAATCTTACATGCATTAAGAAAATATTTAATGAAAGTTTTAATAAGTAAAAAATTGATAAAATTTGCATATACACGACGCCATTCACGCCACTAGAAGATTTCACGGTACTCACTGATGGGTATGGCTGTACCACTAACGCAAAGAAGCTTTCCGGTAATCAAAGAACTTTTTGCTATAAAAAGTAAAGACTATTTTTTTAATCACCTTGCATTTGCCTTCACTATTCACCTAGTATAACTGCACCTTTAAGGTTTTCGCATAAATTCGACAACGTGGTACCGAACCAATCTTCGCCGGAGATCCTGAGCGGCGCGGGAGTTGAAAAACTAGAGACGATTAATAACGAGTAACAAATGAATGTTTAAATGAAAGCTGATTGAGATGCCTCACGAGAAGATCCGACGAGATAAAGAGCTTATGGACAAATTGATTTTGACTACGATTCATTGTCGCGTTAAATAATCAGTGTCAGTCGATTTAATTGGAAATCAAACAACAGACCTGAATCTTTTGCCAGTGAAATCACATTTTGGTGGTATGTTAGTTCCAGTAGATTCACCGTTCGTTCAGGCAACTTTATCGATTGTTTCAACACTTTCGACAACTTTTCCTTTATATTACTTAATGTGTAACTTTCAAGTACGAGATGCAGATGGTTCAACTTATAATTTTTTTTGGTGTTGGATCCAGTCTTATTAGTCCGGATTTTCTTCGGATTATTTTAGCATTAATATTTTTGGGGGATACTTTTTTCTCATGAATCTTCATTAGTTTAAATGTTCTTTTTTGCCTTTTCGTCGATAGCTTTATATGTTTTCTTCAAATCTGTCAGTTAGTTTTCAAATGTTGTTCAAATATTAACACAAATCCTACAGATATTTAAGAATGTTGAATTTATGTTAATTTCACTTAAATCGTCATACTTAAGAACCTTTTGTGAATAAAAGTT